CTGACATGCACTCCAACCCTTTGAACGATTGCCCAGCCTCCTCTACCGTAGTATTTTATACTTACCACAAAAGTTCATTGATATTTTATTAAATGTCAAGAGACTTTAATAGGTGGATTATAAATAATTCACAATGTTTTAAAAAATTATTAGATCTGATGCCCATAATAAAGCATGCTAGTATCTAGTTTTATTTAAAGGAATGTGAATATACAGTTGTGGCTGGAATTCATAAACAAAACTAATGATAAGTTAGTGGAGATATTGAATAGGCCAGTTGAAATGTGGATCTAGATTCAGGAGAAGCATGCTTGTCATTGTCCCAGTAAAGGCACAGAAATAACTGAAAGGAAAGAGGGCTTTGTTGGCAGTGAAACAACCCTAGTTGGAGAGGGTGCCCATACCAGGGACTGGGAAACAGTGCACAGCTTCCAAGGTGTGTATGTGGGGGAGTGTGAGGGGGTGGAGGGGGTAGGGGGTAGGGGTCTGGATTTTTTTGCCCCTAGCAGAGATAAAGAAGACATACAGCAGCTTATACATACTTCCAGGGAACACATACATATTCACAAGGGAGAAGGGCACAGATGAGGAACACACAATGAACTTAATTCACATGTACAGAAAGTGGCAGAAAGCCGGTAGGTGGTTTGTTTTCCAGTGTGGTCGTGGAGAGCAGGGGGCTCTGCCCTGGCCAGTGCTGTCCAGGGACGTGGGGTCTTCTCAGGGCGAAAGTGTGCTTCAGGTTCCTCTCTGTCCCCCCAGAGCCCGGGGACGCAGCAGGGCACTGTCTGGAGAGAGCACCCCCTCCAGACTGCAAGCCCTGCACACCTGGTCTGCTTTAGCTTTCCCTAACCCCAGAGATTCCTACGTTTTCAGGGGGAAAGAGAAGGGGCAAAGTGGCAAAAGGCTTTGATATTATAGAAATAAAATTTCAAGTTGCTTTTTGTATGTCATCATTGGAATGATGGGAGACAAGTAAAGTGCAAGGCTGATGATTAAGAGGAGGTCTAAGGTTGGATGGTGGGAAATAGCACCATTGAAGGAGTCACTTGCCAGTTCAGGAGCTGGAGAGTTGGCCCAGTGTGGCGGGAGCCAGTCTGAGAAGGGAGACCTGCCCCTCCTGGCCCTGCGTTCCGAGGAATCACCTGGAGCACGGAAGGAGGGGCCTCTGAGCACTGCTAGATGTGGCCCTTGAACCAAACCAAAACAACAAACCAAAAGCCTCTTGTAAAGTAAAATGTGTGGATCTTCTTCTTGAAAATAAATATTAGTAATAGAATTTAAGTAATGGAACTGAAGATCAATAGCTTATTAGCAAATAGTGGGAGGCGTCATTACATTTCTAAAACCTTGATAGGCAAGTCTTTACTCTGAGGTTATTTTGTAGCACTGTCCTCCTGTTGTTCATCGATTTGCTCGAGTGGGCACCAGTAACATCTCCATTGTGAGTCTTGCTGTTACTGTGTTTGGCATCTCGAGTACGCTACAGGGAGCTTGCCAGGCTCTGCGTTTGGGCGGGATACTCTCAGTAGCTTGCCGGGCTCTCCAAGAGGAACGGTCATTTTATACTCATATAATCAGTTTTTAAAAAATATTTGTTTTATTTTCACTAGCTTGGTAATCAGTTTCTTAATCAAGAGCATTCAATGATGAATGTACCTGTCGCTTAATAATGACTCATTTTTGTAACTCTGTAGTTCTCAGTGATTTAATTTAAAATAACATTTTTAGACTATAAAAGAGACAATAAGATATGTTTACAAATATGTAGATAGACACGTATACACACATACATAATAAATATAATGGGTGTGTTTAAAGATCTCTCTGTATTCATAAAGTCATTTCTTTAACTTTCTTTTTCTTTTTCTTTTTCTTCTTCAACCATACGTGCATTGTCCATTACCACTACAGTGTCTGTCCATCCATCCACCCATTTGTTTCATACTGTCTCCCTCTCCTTTTATATGCTCTGCCTGCCAGCTCCTACACCTACTAACAGAATTCCTTTAATCTTAATCACCTCTCTGTGGGGGTCTTTGAAGACTTTGAAGTTGTTTCCAGGGTTGCTAAAAAAATTTGTGTCACAAAGAACTGTGATCATAGTAACTCAGCGGGGAACTTTGGTAACATCTAGTTCATCTGTAGGTGGGCTGTTAAGAACTAGTCTTCTCTTTCTTTTTGCTAGGAAATGCTTTGTTTGTGGTTCAGAAAGAAATTGGTGTTCTGATGGATTTTGTTTAGTAGAACTGCTTGGAATTTGCATTGATATTTCATATTAGTTTAGATAAGTTAAGACTGTTAGACCCTCAGATGTACATGAATAAAGATTAGCACTGTCCTCCCGTTGTTCATCGATTTGTTCAAGCGGGCCCAGTAACGTCTCCATCGTGATACTTGTTACTGTGTTAGGCATATCGAATACGTCACGGGGAGCTTGCCAGGCTTTGCCACGAGAGCGAGATACTCTCGGTAGCTTGCCGGGCTCTCCAGGAGGGGCAGAGGATTCGAACTCTCCTCTTGTTGGCCGTGTGGGCCATGTGGGCCGTCGTGCAAGGTAAACACCCTACCCGCTGTGCTATCGCTCCAGCCCGCATAAAGATTAAAATAGAAAAAAATACACATTATTCTACACATACTATGGGTTGGGATGCTAAGAAACATTGTAGAAGTTAGGAAACTTATTTATGTATGCAAAAATGAACTACATTCTTTTTTGCTTCTTCAAGTTTTATTGTCATTATTTTCAGAGCCTTGCATGTGGCCAACCCTGGGTTCAATTCCTCCATCCTCTGTTCCCTCGGAGAGCCCAACCAGCTACTGAGAGTATCCTGCCCACACGGCAGAGCCTGGCAAGCTCTGGTGGCATATTTGATATGCTAAAAACAGTAACAGCAAGTCTCACAATGGAGACGTTATTGGTGCCTGCTTGAGCAAATCGATGAACAACAGGAGGACAGTGCTACAGTACTACAGTGCCATTTTCAAAGGGAAAAAAAAACTACTTTGCGGTCCTCTAAAACGTTTGCTCCATAATCTACTATATATAATAAAACTTTGCTTTAGTCTGTAAATGTATCTTACCACTTTTATACCCTAGAAAGCATTTTTATACTCATAAAATATCATAAAAAGATGAAAATCTTGAAATTTTTTCTGAAATGATTAAATTGCATGACTTAGTAATGTTTAGGATTACTTAACCATTACAGTATTTAGGAACTTTCACTTTTTCCCTGTGTCTTTCTCCTGTCTGTTGAGCACAAAAATACTTTTTATTTTAGAAGTTGGGCTGGAGTGATAGCGCAGTGGGTAGGGTGTTTGCCTTGCAAGCGGCCAACACGGCTGACCCGAGTTCGATTCCTCTTGGAGAGTATCTCACCCGCAGGGCAGAGCCTGGCAAGCTCCCCGTGATGTATTCGATATGCCAGACACAGTAACAACGAAGTCTCCAATGGAGCCGTTACTGGGCCTGCTTGAGCACATTTTAGAAGTTACACTGTTTCCACTGTGCTTTTTTTACGGACCTTAGTCATGAAATGTTAATATATAGTGTTCTTCAGAAGCTTAAGTATATAGATTATGAGAATTTGAATCCATAAACTACACTTAGGAAAATGTAGGTAGAACACTTCATGATGTTGAAGCCAGAGGTATACGCAGTGATGTGAAATCTTTGGCCAAGAAAACTGAAACAAAGATAAACAAGTGGGACTATATCAAACTAAGAAGCTTCTTCACTAAAATGAAAATGGTGGCCAAAATAGACACCCTACCTACCCACTGGGGGAGAGTATTTGCCTACCACTTATCAGATAAAGGGTTGATATTCCAGAAATATAGTACGTTAGCAGCACACTACAAAAAAAAAAAAAACCCCAAAAAAAAATCCCCAGAAAACCAGAAAACAGCCAACTCCATTTAAAAAAATGGGCCAGAGATGAACAGAAACCTGCTCAAAGAAGATATACAGATGGCTAAAAGGTTTATGAAAAATGCTCTGCATCACTTACCAGGGAAATTCAAAATCAAGGCAAGAATAAACTACCATCTAACCTAGTTAGACTGGCACACATCACAAAGAACAGAAACAACTAGTGTTGGCATAGATGTGGGGAAAGAAGGGCCCTCACTCACTGCTGGTGGGAATGTCCCCCGAACCAGCCTTCTGGGAAAACAGTATGGACATTTCTTTAAAAACTAAGAATTGAGCTTCCATAACACCTAGCAGTTGCGCTTCTGGGCATCACCCCAGCTGTCTGAAAACTCAGTTTAGAAAAGATACATGCACTTTTTTTTCTTTTTTAAATGTAGGAATATTGTTATTTATTCAGCCATTAATTAGGCTGATTGAATTGGGCATGAACTCCACCTTACTCCCCCCCCCCCCCTTTTTATAAATTTGTTTATTGAATCACCGTGAGAGCAGTTACAAAGCTTTCGGGCTTAAGTCTCGGTCATACAATGATGAAACACATGTCCCTTCACCAGTGCCCATTCTCTACCACCAAAAGCCCCAGTATACCCCTTATCCCATACCCTCCCCCTTCCTGTGGGGCAGATGATTTCCACATTACTCTCTCTCCCACTTTGATTTCATTCAATATTTTGACCCCGGATTCACAATTATTATTTGGGATTTTACCCCAATACTCAGATCTGCTGAAAAAGAAAAGATACATGCACTTCTGTGTTCATTAGAGCAGTATTCACAATAGCATCTTCTGGAAACAACCCAAATTTTTATGGTGACAGGGTACAGAAACTGTGTACATATACCCAATGAAATAATGCTCTATTGTGGAAAAAAAAAGTGAAATCATGAAATTTCATGAAATCGTTTTGATTAATGACCATCAAACTTTATTATATTTTTAATTTGGTATGCTTGAAAACAGATTATCTTTTCCTTCTCAGTTATTTTGACAGATATTTTAAGATCACATTATTGAGTCAAATTAATGCTTAATCTTATTGTATCTTTTTACAATTATTTGCAGGAGAGGACTGCTCACAATTTATATGGCCAATTTGGTAAGTAATTTTTTCTTTCAAGGTTTGACTGCAGGGCCTTGCACATGCAAGGCAAATATTCTACTATTGAGCTAAATCTCTGGGCACAGATTTTTGAATAGATTAGTATCAAGTTCTTGTAAGGGCTGGTGGGGGTGGGGGTGGGTGGGTAACTTAATGGTTGAATACACTTCTAGCTTGAAAATGGCCCTGAGTTCTGTCTTGGCATTCTGTCTTCTTCACCCCTGCACCATCAGTTAAAAAAAAAAAAATCCGGCACTGCACATTCAAATCAAACCAAACCAAATCACGAAAACTACCTAAACTTTAGATAATTTTCTCCCTCTGTTTAAACGGGTAATCTTAAGTGTTTAAAAGAAAGTTGAGAGATGATATAGTCTTGTCATATATAATTGACTTTTACTTCAGGAGGGAAATGATACATTGTCTTCTGTTCTTTATGATTCTCTTTTATTTATTTATTTATTTATTTGTTTAAAAATTTATTAATTTATTGAATCACTTGGGAAAAATTACAAAGCTTTCAGGTTTAAGTCTCGGTCATGCAATGATTCCCTTTTCTTTAGACATGTTTATGATACAATATCTCTCTATTGTCTATATTTCTTTATCTTTTGGGGGGATACACCCAGCAGTTCTCAGGACTGGCTCCTTGCATAACTCGGTCCATGTGGGGTGCTGTGAACTGAATCTAGGTTGACTGACTGTGTGCCAGGCAACCCTATCCATCGTGCTGTTGCTTTAGTCTCTATTTCTGTATATTTTGAATTTAATTCATATTCTTTTCCTATTGCTACTTCTTAAACGGAGTATTGAGCTGAGAGTGAGCTTTTATGTTGTAGATTCTTGGACATTAGGAGAGCAGCAGTTCTGGCTCTCAATGCTGAATATACACAGTGTGCGCAGAGCCTACTCTTGACTCTGTTCATGGATCTCATGGCAGTGCCTGGCGTGCCTTGTGCAGTGTCAGGAGTGAACCTTGGTCAGCCATGTGCGTGGCAAAGTGCCTTAACTCTTGTGCTTTCTCCTCTCCAGTAGTGATATAATTAGACCTCCTACTTTCTAAGATTATGGAAATGAAATTAATTTTGACTCTGATTTTCTATGGTAAATAATATTATCAAGGTTTTATAATTTTCATTGCCAAGTTCATATTTTAAGATTGTATATTAAAACTTTTGAAAAACCCACTTTTTTTCCTCTGACCCTTCCTCATTTGCTGTGTTATTTTTTTTACGTTTTCCCCCCTCTCTGTATTGAATTTTGTTTTCCTTTCAGCTTAGTCTTGAAGCTAACTTATCTCATTACCTGTTTTTAATGTGCTTCTGTCTCTAGTCACTGAAAACTATTTTTATTTTTTGACCTGTTCCTCCTTTCTTTTACTGTTGTAGGAATGACTTGGGATATCCGTTTGCCTGATGTGGCTCTTCCACATCTGCTTGTGGTATTTGCACATTTGGACTTGCTGCTTGTCGGGGTCTGACTCTGGCACCCCAGCGTGCATTCTCTGGGGCTGTGGCTTCTGGCGGCACCATTCCTACATCGTTTTCAGTTGTGGCCACAGTGGCCACAGTGGTAGCATGCCTTTAGTTGTGGTGCTCATGCACCTGATTGTGGGTGACTGGAAGTAACTCGTGGGTATCAGGGATCAGAGACAGAGCTGCCAAATTATTGTTGGTACCTCTGGTGGTCTTAGGGGTATGGAACTCATGGCCTTATATTTCCAAAGCGGGTGTTGTAAGTCATTGTGTCTTCACCCCTTGAAAACTCACTTTTCATGATGACTTCTCTTTTGAGGAGAAACATAACTGAGGATGCACAGAGACTGTTCCTAGTAAGGTGCTTGGGGATTGCTTCTAGGAGTGCTGTGGGATGGACCCTAGCCTCCCTCATACAAGGCATGTGTTCCCTTCACTGTCGCTGTGCAGTCATTCTGGTCTGGTGATGGCTTTCTCTTAATTTAAATGCCAGATATAACATGAAACCAGAAATATTTCATAATATTTTGAATTATATACATACATAACATCTATAATACTTTTTCTGTCATTTATTTACTCTTTGTTCATCTCTTCATATAATTTTTTTCATTTTCATTTTTTTATTTCATCATCCTGTTATTCGTCGATTGCCTCGAGCAGGCCCCAGTAACGTCTCTTTCATCCTAGCCCTGAGATTATATGCAAGGCTCTTTAGGAGAATGAGACCCATCATTGTTACTGGTATTTGGCATATTGGGTACGTCACGGGGAGTTTGCCAGACTCTGCCCTGTGGGCAGGCTACATTCGATAGCCTGCCAGTTTGTCCAAAGTAGGAATGAGATAATAAGATGTCATAAAAAGATGTCCTGATTAGAAGTCGCGCGGCTGCATTTGCGGCCGCGCGGTTCTGGGAGCTGGATTTTATAGTCTGAGTCTTGGCCGTTGATGGGATTACATGGCGCCAGGGGGCCAGGTGGTGGGTGTGACCCCCGCCTACTGGAATTTGGAGGATCTGGGTGGAGGATGCTCAACTCCAATCCGAGTAGGCTTGGAGATCTCGGCCCCGGAACCCGTGTGGATTTGTCCCTCTGCCAGTACCTTTATGTGTGCGGAGAGTGGTCTCAGCATGGTGGTGGCTGGTCCTGGAGGTCTTCGGCTGCCGGAGCCCTGGTCGGGGCGGGGAGGAAAGCTCAACCCGCTCCCCTCCAAGGGGGCTCAGGTGAGGAACAGCCAGGTGCGGGGGCAGAAGACTGCACTGTTCTCGTCCGGGAGCTGGATTTTATAGTCTCTGAGTCTTGGCCGTTGATGGGATTACACGGCGCCAGGGGGCCAGGTGGTGGGTGTGACTCCCGCCTACTGGAATTTGGAGGATCTGGGTGGAAGATGCTCGACTCCAATTCGAGTAGGCTTGGAGATCTCGGCCCCAGAACCCGTGTGGATTTGTCCCTCTGCCAGTACCTTTATGTGTGCGGAGAGTGGTCTCAGCATGGTGGTGGCTGGTCCTGGAGGTCTTCGGCTGCCGGAGCCCTGGTCGGGGTGGGGAGGAAAGCTCAACCCGCTCCCCTCCAAGGGGCCCCAGCGAGGAACAGCCAGGCGCGGGGGCAGAATTTTTAATTGTATTTTTGAAAGAAACTGGAAAGATAATCCATTCTTTTCTTTTGCATTGTGGATTAAAATGTGTTTTAAAAATTGCATTTGGATAGTTAAAATAGTTTTTACACAAACTCCCTTTCTCCCTTGTGGATCACTTTTGCTAGTGCTCAAGGGCTCCTCCCAGCTCTGTGCTCATGAGTAACTCCTGGGTTTGCTTGGGGGACCATATGCAGTACCAGGAATCAAACTGAGGTTGGCTGCTTGCAAGGAAACCATCTTAACCATGCACCATCTTTTCAGCCCTATTATCTCCTTTTTTTTTTATTTTTGGTTTGTAATCTGAGGCCTTTATTTCATCAAGTTTGAGATTCCATGTTGATTAAAAAACAAAACAAACAAGAATAGCAGCAGCAGCAACAAAAATAGCTATTAGTAAATGCCAAAGACAACTCAGGTACAGATATTCTGAATATAGTATTTGGTTATGAAGAGAAGCCAGTTGGTTTTCCATTAAATTCAGAACTGTTTTTCAACTTGGGAAGAGATAGCTACAGGTGTGCCCCAGGAAAGAAGTAAGCTAACAGACCGTATCTGTATAAGACCCTTAGTTTCACTATAATGGTTTGCATATTTAATGTCATGGTTAGTTGTTCTTAGTATATTAAGGGGGTGTTTCCAAACCCCTTTTTGTTGCAAAAAAGTTATTATGCAAACAAGAGCACCATTTAAGAAACCTTTAGTAACACAGTTCCTGATATACGCTCAAATCCTACCAAGGACAGTATCCCACATTAAACCATTAGGATGGGCATACAGGCATAAAAGTCCTGGTAGGACTTTTCATATCTGACTGTGTTCAGGGCCTACTCTTGGCTCCATGCTCAGGTACCACTCCTGACAGTGCTCACAGGACCCTATGAGGTACCAAGGATTAGACTGGAGCTGGTCAGGAGCAAGACAAGAGCCTTACCATCTACATGCTATACTCTTACCAGCCGCTAATAAACATATATTGTGTAGAGAAAGGTCTAAAACATTTTTATTTTTTAATTTTTTTATTTTATTGCATCACCGTGAGATAGTTACAAGCTGTCATGTTTGGGGGACAGTCACACAATGATCAAACACCCATCCCTCCACCAGTGCACATTCCCCACCACCAATATCCCTGGTATACCCCTCGTTTCCCACCCTCCCCCTGCCTCCACGGTAGACAATATTCTCCATAGTCTTTCTCTACTTTTGGGCATTATGGTTTGCAATTCAGGCACGAGAGGTTATCATGTTTGGTCCTTTACCTACTTTCTGCACACATCTCCCTTCTCAACCTGTTCATCAAGCCGTCATCTTCTTAGGATCCCTTCGCTGTTCCAGCTGCCTTCTTGCCTTTGAGCAAAGGGGAGCAAAGGGGAGAAGGCAGCTGAAACATTTTTAGAAGTGAATCAGTTGGATGAATGTTGATGAGAACTGGCCAATCAACTGACATTAATAGGCATCATCCAGCAGAATCTTCTTTCGTTGAATGATAATAGTGTTCTCCAACTCCAAAAATCAACTACCAAACCTTTAACTTCATTCCAAGTAGTATTGATGCTGTCACTGATACTTAAATATCCAACTCAGGAGGTCTACAAACATGTGTAACATTAAAAAGAAGATATTGGTGAGTAATTGAAGAAAGTGAAGGTTTCTTCTAGCCCAGTTTTCCCAAAGTGGGCTCTACTGGGGGTACACTGGAATGATGGGGGTGGAGTAGTAGCCCTGGTATAGGCTGTTTCACTTAAGATAACTTTCCACAGGGAGCACAAAGTGATTATTTTTCCCCTTTAAGTGTTGCTCTAGGCCAAATAGGCTTAAGAATCTCTGTCCAGATCAGGCAGTTATTAGCATTAAAAACATCTTTATGGCTAACTTTATATGTTTTT